CTGGATGTATTAGGTGTGCGGTGCAAGCTCTGTAATGTAGGCGAACTAGTGCAAACTCTTTGGTCAGAGCGATGCGGTGCAAGCTATGTGTTGTGAGCTATGTGGTGTACGCCATGTGGGGTAAGCTACGTGGTGCAAGCTACGTGGTGTGACATACGTGGTGTAAGCTTTGTGGTGCACGCCACGCAGTGTAAGCTATGTGGTGCAAGCCGCCAGGTGCAAGAGTTGTGGTGCAAGCCATGTTGTGCAAGCTAGGTGATGCAAGCTATGTCGTGCAACTTGTGTGGTGCAACCTCTGCGGTGTAGGCCATGATGTGCTGTAGACAAACTATGGGGTGTAAGCTCTTGGATAGAAGCTGTGGTGTGAGCTTGGTGGTATAGATACGGTGAAACATTATTGGGTGCTGGCCCATGGCAGGGAACCGAACTCTCTACACCGACGCTTTTTCCGACCCTGCACGGAAACTTGCACGGGAAACCGGATCACGGTGAATACGGGATCACGTTGTATACACTTTTTCGCTGTTGCCCTGGAAAAGCGGGGAAACACGTATACACCACACCACCCCGACGCCGTCCCCGAGCCTCAGAAAGTCCTGGGATTGAAAAACACCCCGCAACTGGTGATACATGTGCTCCAATTTCCGACATTCGGCGGTGGACAAACCTCCCTTCCGTAAACTTCCCTTGAGTGAAACCGGCCTGGGACCGAAACCGACGCCCTCTCGTGAACCGAAAACGGCCAATTCCCTAACAGACGTGTCAGGGTGGAGGAGAAGGAGGAGGAGGAGGAGGAGGAGGAGTGGGAGGAGGAGGGGGAGGAGGAGGGGGAGGAGGAGGGGCAGGAGGAGGAGGAGGAGGGGGAGGAGGAGGAGGAGGAGGAGGAGGGAGGAGGAGAAGGAGGAGGGAGGTCTGTCCACCCCCGAGACATGGGGCGCGCACGGCTGGGAACAGGGCGAAGCCTCGACCCACCCAGCCAGCGCACGGGGCGCCCACGAAGAGGCCGTCGTGCCCCGGCCCACCCCGCGGATTGCCCAGGGGAGCCAGCAACAACCCCTGGACGCAAGCACTGCTTGGAGGAATCGAAGAGCCGATGGCCCTCAGAGCGCGTGTTCGCGCCAACGTCGGGGCCAACGTGTGCTTGCCCTGCGAGGCCCTTCAATACGACGCAGGCGATGTAATGATCTGGACGGGGTAGCACGTGCACACATTAGGCCAACGCACGTCCTGAGGACCATCGAGAGAAACAAGCCTCCCCGCGCCCACCATGCCAACACGTCTCTCTCTCCTGTTCGCAAAAGCCCGGTTTGGACGAGCTTCATCCAACCTCACGTTAAGAAATTGTCAGCAGCGGTCCTGGTTCAGCAGCGGCCCTGGAAAGGCTAAGGCCACCTTGGGCCTGGGCCACCTCTGGAAATACCCGAGCCTCCCTTCCGGCCTCTGTCGAAACCTGGGGCTCGCGGCAAAGGCAAGCTACATGCGCACATCTCCTCGATCGGGGGCGCCCCGCGCGGGTCGGCGAAGAGCAGCGGCGTGCTCTCGCGGCCGTCTTTTATTGATGACAATGACGATTCCGACAAGATAACGGCAACGATGAAGATCAGGAACGAAACTCCACAGCTGATGTTGACAACGACGATGCCGATGACGAATGGTGATGGTGTCTTGCCGAAGGGCAGCAACATCAGCCGCCACGTCAGATAGCTGCTGTCCTCAGGCCCCAATGCTCATGGCGATGATGAAGACGCCAATGACGATAGCGATGGTGACAAGTCTTTCCGCCGCACTTTGGCCCTCGCCAGGCTGCTGCATCCCTTGCACTCCGTCGGCCAGGTCCTCAGCCAGCACCACATGTGCGCGCTGCCTCGCTAGCGCAGCAAAGGAGCGGGTACGCTGGAGCTCCTGGCGCGGTCCCGCAGCGTCCTCCCAACCAGGTACAGCGGCCCCATGCTCGCGGCCAACACCGCAACGGCACCCATCGGCACCAAAGGGGGGACCCCCCCCGCGATCAGGAAGAAGGTGGCGGCCAGCGAGCCAAACCTGAAGAGCACGACGTTGGAGAAGGCCGCGTCCGCCTGCTCCGCAGGGAAGACGTCGGCGAACAGGGCCCTCGTGGTGGACTCGGCGACGGTGCGCGCAGGCGCCCCGAGGACAAAATAGACGATGATCCGGCGGCCGTGCAGGCTGCTCGGGAAGAGCCCAAAGAACACCGGCAAGGCCATGAAGCTGGCAGTGCCGACCAGCAGGCACGCCAGCGGGCCGCAGGAGGCGGCAAGCAGCGGCAGGATCTTCGAGCTGACCGCCGCGAGCAGGGAGCTCACGGGGGCACAGATGTAGATGCATCGGGGATGGACAAACCCCCCTTTAGTAAAATGTGGTTTAGCGAAAACGACCTGAGGCCAAAACCTGGCGGGCGCAAGCCTGGAAAATAACGGCCACGGCGCGCTCTCGAGAACCGAAAACGGACAATTCACTAATCGACGCGACGTGTCACTGTTGGGGGTTCTGTCCACCCCCGAATGTAGGCGTCGCCCACTTCCTCGGCGACCTTCCGATTCACGAGGCCGTCGCTGATGGCACACGCGACGCCATAGGCCAGCAGGGCGGGGGTCAAGCACCACAGCTTCGGGTCCCTCCAGAGCCTTACTGCGCTGAACGTGTGCGAGTCCGCAGCCGCTCCGTGCTGTCTCAACGACGGGGAAGGCAAGTCCGTCATAAACAAACAGGTGGCGACAGGGCACAGGGACGCCACAGCAGAGAACACTACAATGATCCACAACCAATCATACCCGACTTGACGCACCACTGCCACGGACAATTTCACCACTACCTCAAGACCAAACATGTAGACCGTCAGGGTGCCAGCGAGGTTTGCGGACAAGGCGTCGCGACCACCCTGATGAAGCAATGCTCCCGTGCAGGCCACTGTCCTGGAGAGGGCCACTCCTACCACGGTCATGAGATTGGCACTCGCGAGGGATGCCAAAAGCATCGCCGATAAAAACAATGGCCACTGCGCAGCGCCCTGGCCAAAGGGGAGGAAACAAAGAGCAGTAAGTGCCAAAGATACGCAACTGAGGCCAAGTGCAATTGTGGCAACAAGTTTCAACCCAAGTGCACGAATGGTGGGGCCAGTGAGTAAAGCAGCTGTAATGGACAAACCTGAATAGAGAACTGCGCTGCCGACAAAAGCAACACGCTCACTGAGAATGCTTGAGGCCCCTTCCATAACCACTGAGTATGCCGCCTGCACGACACCGAAGACAAGGCACAGTATGTGAAAACTCCGCACTGCCTGGGGATGGGGTACCGATTCCAGACACGGAATCGACATTTGCCTCCGTGAGGCCTGCTCAGACACCATGTGTGCTGAATAACTCGTCGTTGCGGCGGGGCGCTCTCCTACTTGAAGTGTAAAATGTATGGCGTGAGCTGGAGCTGCCTGAGACACATAGTGATGGGACCGCAGTTGCAGACGACTTCGGAGCCTATGCGATGATGCTACGGCGGAAATGGCTTAAACTACTTGACGCTCAAGCTACTCAGGCCTCCGACGAATCGATTTCGTGGAACCCTTGGCCTCAAGAACTTCGACCATTTCCCACAGATAACGTTGACAAGCCGGGTCGTTCTTTTACATCTCTCCAGACGCAGACGAGTTGAGAAGACTACCCGGCGTGAGGTCCTCGAGCAGCCCAGGAGGTGTCGGTCGGGAGGCCCTCGCAAGCTCCAGGGCCCCGAACCATGAAAGGGTGTCCGCGACGCGGACTCTGCTCAATAGGATTATGTCGGGCCTGTCCCCCTACACAGGGGAATTTCCGACGAAAAATAAACAATACACCAAAAATAATGAAAAAAACAATCCCAAAATAGTCTGGGGAATATTTCTGGGGTATGTTTGTTGACCTTGTTGTTGCATTTTTGTGGTATCTTTTATTTTTCGTCGAAAACCCCCTCTGAGGGGACAGGCCCGACATAACACCAGGACGCCCCCTCCCATTAAAATCGAGCCGCCCGGAACACCCTCCTTCCTCGCCCGTTCCACCCCATCGCTCCGCAAGACGACCCCATATGTTCCCATGTTTCCCCATATTTTCCCATGTTTTCTTGGTTTCTGTCTTCCCCCCACGTCCTACATTTTCCAATTGTGTCTGTGTGTTTTTGTTCCCCCTCCTGATCCAGGATGCTCCTCGATGGTCCGCGCCGACGGACAAATGCACACGTCCGAGCGATGCCAAGCTCCTCCCTCGCCCCGTTCCACCCCACATCGCTTCGCAAGACGAGGAACCCCAGCTTGGGCAGCCAGGGGCTCAGTCCAGTCCGCACACGACTCCGAGGGGGCGAGGTCCCCCCACGTGTGGGCCGCGGAGGCCCCGACGAGAAGGGCGGGGGAGAGGGAGAGAGAACAGGAAGAAGGGGGAGTGAGAGAGAGAGAGAGAGCAAGAACAGGAAGAAGGGGGAGAGAGAGAAGGCGGGGGGGAGGGACGAGAAGGGCGGGGGAGAAGGGCGGAGGCCCCGACGAGAGGGAGAGAGAGAGAGAAAGAACAGGACGAGGGACAACATCCAGAGAGCGAGAGAGAGAGAGAGAAGGAAGGTGGGGTGGGAAGCGGGGGCACGGGGGAGCAGGACAGGGCCTGGGATGGGAGGGAGGGAGGCGAGGAGAGAGCAGGAACAGGACGAGGGACAACATCCCGAGAGCGAGAGAGAGAGAGAGAGAGAGAGTCCAGAAGGAAGGTGGGTTGGGAAACGGGGGCACGGAGGAGCAGGGCAGGGATGGGAGGGAGGGAGGCGAAGCCTCCGGCCTCATCGAACAGTCTTCGCATCCGTTGAGGGGCCCCTGTGTTCTCAGACATGGCGCAAACCAAGAACACCAAGATTAGGGAAGCCAAGAAGCCAAGAAGCACTGTCAAGAAAAAGAGACCAAGAAACCAGCAATTCCAAGATATCGAAACCAAGATATCGAAAGTACCTCGCCTGTGGGTTGGCGTAGAAGATCCCGCTCAAGATTGACTCCTGGTGCGTGTGCCACCCGTGGCGTCCCTGAAGAGCAGGGTCTTGCGGGTAGACCGCGGCCCACATGAGCCGCCGGCCCCGACATGCAGCGCGGCTCTGCGCGCCCCGTCCTCCTCCCCTCCTCCTCCTCGTCGGCATGACCGTCCTCCTCTGGGGATGTAGCTCTAACCTCAGTGGGCCCTGGAAACGACAGGGCAATTTTGTTACCGGTTCCGTTGTGCCGTTTTTTACCGGTTCCGACGCCGTTTTTTTACCGGCTCCCTCGCCGTTTTTTTACCGGTTCCGGCTCCGGTTCCAATCCTGGAGCCGTTTTTTGGCCGTTTCCGGTCACCGTTTTTTTGCCGTTTCCATTTTCAAGGGACATTTTTTCGGCAACGGTGAAAAAACGGCCCTACCGTTTCCGGGGTCCACAGAGGCTCTAACAAGTCTCGCCTCTCATGATCTCTGCACCGTGGCGGGCCCAGCTGACGAGAAACTTCTCTCAAGGCCACCCGGCTCCTTCCCTTTCCGGGCTCCGGCGCCCGTCATCCAATCGCTCTCTCGTCGGCTGTCTCCCTCCCCGCCCGCCCTCCCGCACTCGCTTGACCCGCCGTGCGAGCGCCCCGATCAGGTCCCCCTCCCCCTGAGCAGGAGCCATCTAACCGTGCACATGCACCGGCCCCTGGCCCACCCTGGGCCAAGGATCTCCGAATACCCCTTCCAGGCTTGGTCAGGAAGGGATGCCAGGGCAAGCCCGCCCGCTGGCTCGAAGCCTTGCAGAGCTCCGCCGTCACCAGCTCTGGATGTTGAGCAGGGACCGACCGTCCCGGCATTCCTATAGTCATACCACGAAATGTTCTTAGAACCCAAAAATGTCCCAAGAACAAAAACAATGTTCTTAGAACATACAGCCAATGTGCTAAATCAAAACAGACTCCGCCAGAAATGTTCTGAGAACATGTCGTGGAGACCACAAAAGGTTTTTAGAACATTGCTTGGTGGGGCTATAGGCGAGCCGGGACGCTTCGCCACTGCCTGATTGATGGCGTGCGGCCGCAGCCGAGCCCCGGACGCCTTCCTCGGGGCCGGCCTGCCGCCTCGGCACGCCTCGTGAGAGGCCCCGCGGGCCCGAGACGAGCACAGCCTCCTACTCGATTTGGGTTCGGTGCCGACCCCTCCGACCGACATCCGCTGAAGAGTGGCTTGCCTTTCCAGGGTGAAGTCGGGCCTGTCCCCCTACAGGGGGATTTTCGACGAAAAACAAGAAATTTACCAAACATAATATAAAACAAATCCAGAAATAGTCTGGGGATTATGTTTTGAGTATATTTTGACATTTTTTGTGCATTTTGAGGGTACTAGAAAAATGTTCGTCGATGATCCCCCTGTAGGGGGACACGCCCGACATAATTCCAGGGGTTCTCTATCTGCCTCGTTCGTCGAGCCGCGCCATCGGCCGCTGCTGCGAGGCGGGCCCCGCCGTGCCGCGCCGCAGCACGAGGAACGGGGAGCCGAGAGGGGAGTTCTGGCTCCATCGTCAGGCACCTCCTTCCCCGCGTCGCGGGGTCGCATCCTCCAGAAACTGGTGCGTCAGTCCCCGCTTGTGCTCCCTGGGGCCCATGGTCCTGCAGTCTCGGGCAAGGTGGCCAGGCCGAGGACATCAATTTTTTTCCCGCCTATAAGAGAGGGCGCTCGAATGGATAGTTTGTGAAAGCATTGGCGACCTGGCCTCCAATTGCTGTCAACACGCCGCCCACGTAGACAACTTCGAAAACTGAGGCGATTCCTCGCGGCCCCCTGCTGCTGCGAGGAAGCTTCGGTGGCAGACTCTGTAGGTCCAAAAACTGGCTGGCTCGCACCCACCCCGCATGCCCACAGTGTTCACCCTGGCCTGTGGCGTGCCGAGCACGACCTGAAGCGACCGATCGCCATGAAGCATCAGAAACCCTGCAGGATTTTTCCGGATCTTGCAAAGCCTGACTGAACCGGGTCTGGGTGAGGATTGGCTCGTGTCAGTAGATTCCCGACTCCACAGGCTCCTGTGACACTGCTCCTCCGTCTCTTCCTCCTCCACGTTCGCCTCTTCGTTCGCGCCCCCATCCTCGTCGCAGCCCTCGTCGTCGTCCTCACGAATATACTGAAGAGCCCGCGATGATCATCGGAATGACCCGCTGCTCCTGGCGCCGCCGCCCCCCCCCCCCCCCCGCGTATCGCTCGGCCGGACAGTCGACGCCCTGCCGCTGCGGAGCGGCGGCAGCCTGTGCGCATAATCCAGGAGCGCTCCAGCTCGTCGGCCTCCTGCCCACCCGTGGATCGGAAGAGAAAAAAGGGATCCATACCTCCATCCTTCCCTTGTCTTCCCCTTTTTGGGGGGTCGCCTGGGAGGGCCCCATCGCCACCGCGGCATTCGCCTCGAGGTCCTAACCAGAGCGCGCCCCGGGAGAGGTCCGGGGAGTAGCGGTACAGGTACCTCTTGCTTTCCCCGAAGGAAGCCCTTCATCTTCTGCCATCGTGTGTCCACCCTCGCCTGCCTGATTTACCAGCGTGCTGCCTTCGTCGTAAGTGTCCGCCCTCTGCTCCACCCATGATGCCCCCCCCCAAATGAGCAACGCACGCGAGAAACGTGATCGTTGGCCTATGCAAGATGGAAGCAGGGAGCCACGTGCATGAACCTCTTGGACGCAGATGCCATGCAAATCCCACATGTCTTTCTGCATCCACGTGAACAGGCATCGCGATGCAACCTTCCAAAAAGGGAAGACCTCAATAATAACCTGCACACATCCATTCCAGAAACCGTATGTTGCTCTGGGTCCTAAAAATAGCCCTCCTCGAAACAGCTTAGCCCGCTAGCAACCTTCAGGACTAATGAGCTGCATCGGGCTCCGAACTAAAACAATTATTCTCATGTATCGTGCCCCGGTTGTCCCAGCAAGTCCCCTCCACGTCAATCCCCGAATGGTTGAAATAGGCCAAAGACGCGTTGCGCGCCAATCTCAATATCGTCTTGAACTCATCTGTGCCGTACAGCTCCGGCCACTTCTTTACGACTCGAGGGTTGCTGAATGCATGCTCGTTGACCTCCTGAGGGATGTAACGCGAGACGCACCACTACACAAATACATCACAGGATGCATCATTGCCACATGCAAGACACGGCAAAGCTGCATATTGACGGCTGCTGATTTTGGTACAACGCATAATTTTGGTAGAGGGGAGAAATCGGAGCAACTCCAGTAGCGCATGTCCTCACAAAGCGATAGACAAGGCAGCATGAAGATACCACACCAACTCAACCGCAGACACAGTTCCCTATAAAGAGGAATGCAGGCGCGCGAATCCTGAAAAGAGAAGAACCTGTTGTTGATGTCATACTCTGTAATAGTCGCACTCTTCTTCCTGCGGGTTGGCAAATCAACGGGAGCACGATCCATAGCGGCTATCCAACAGAATACGGTACGCATGTGTGGCATGGCTGGCCCCTTCGGAGTCGAACATTGAAAACCCAATGCCCCACGTGTGCCATCTCATCCTCGTCGTCGTCCACTTCCCTCGATACCCTCGCTGTGAATTCTTCTTTGTGTGGAGACACATGGCGACGGTGTCAGCTCTTACCTCCGACACGACAAACCCTGGCACCCGGGCTCCAAGCATTCTTCCTCGGGTTCCACGAGGCTGGATTTCGCCGCCGATACTGACGCCGAATCAGCGTGAACTCCCACCACCCCCGGGCACACTGACTCCCCACTCTCTCCTGCATGCTTGATGCCATGACGAGCGACCCCCGCACGTCCTCCTCCGTCTCTGGTGGGCGCCCACCACTCTCGACTCCCTGGCTCTCGACCCTCTTTCAAAGGCTTCGCGGCGACCGATTGCGATGCGGCGATGCCCGCCGCCAGCCCGACGCCCTCTTATTTGGACGCCCAAAATGGGTACCGAAAGAATGGGTACAATGCCCAATATCACATGTTGTCCCAAACCAACAGCGGCCGCTGTTGGACAGGCGGCCTTCTGTCTCGAATGGACACAGGCCGCGGCGGCGTGGACAGCGAGCCCTGTTCAAAATGAACAAGATCCGCTGTTGGGCATTGTACCCATTCTTTCAATGCCCATTTCGTGCGTGCAGATCTTATGGCGAAATCGCCAGGTGCTCCCGCTGCCGCCACCACACCAGCATGGCCGACTGCAGAAGCCCTGGGCACGTACGCTTCCATCGGCGGATCTGCTTCCCGGGCGTCCGCAGCCTTCCTTCGCCACCGTGGTGCCGCTGTTGCTTTCGACAGTCGCCGAATCGCCTACTTCCTACCAAAGGCGAGAGGTACACTTCTCGATTGGCAGATCTATATCTATATATGTATATACATATATATGTATATATATGTGCATATATATATATATGTATGTATGTGTGTGTGTGTGTGTTTGTGTTGCTCGATTCCTCGTGAGTCATGTCTCAAACGCCTCGCGTGGCTCCTCTTAAGGTGACGGTCGAATTCGCCGCCCCCTACTGGCTTGCCGCAAGGGTGCACGGCGTGCTGGATCGTTTCAAAAGGTTTCTATTGGGCCTTGGGCCCAACCCGCCGGCCACCCGGAAGGACGCGCAACGACGGACAAAAACTGGAAAACTCGCCTCCAGGATTGTCAAACTCGTTCCAATATTGCCTCCAGGATGTTCCAAGACGGCCATGGTTGTCTCAAGGGAGACACAGATGGCCCCAAGATGCCTCCAAGATGGCCCTAAGACGGCCAAAGATGCCCTCCAGACGGTCCAAGAGGCCCCCAGGTCACCCCAAGGACTTCCAAGACAAGAGGACCTCCAGGAGGTTTTCCGATGATCTGAGCGTTCTCGCCTTTTCCCAAGACGACCCCACAGGCCCCCAAGAGCGTCGCAAGACGGCCAAAAAGGGCCCCAAGACGGCCCAACAGGCCCCCAAGAGGACCCCAAGACTGCCCCATAGACCTCGAAGATGGCAGTCAAGCTCCCACAGAAGGACACACGACTGCCCAGAGAGGGCCCAAAGACACCCCCCGAAGGCCAAGAGGCACCTCAGAGACCCCGAATAGGCTCCAGGGCCTATTGGGAGGCCCCAGGGGGCCCCCACGAGGTCTCTCAGAAGCCCTCAAGGAGCTCCCAGGAAGCCACAGGAGGCCCCAATAGAGCATCAAGAGACCTCGCGATTTCCTCCTGCTCCTCCTTCTCCTCCTCTCCTCCTCCTGTCTCTGGCTCTCCTCAGCGTTCCCCCCAAGGTGTTCAACAACGCCTGGGGGAACACATGTTCTAATAGGTTTGCCAGGCTTCGGCCCAACGTTTGGCCACGTGGGCGCTTCCAAAAGGCATGGGGAGTCAGTCACTCCTACTGCTTCGAATTTGATCGAAGACTCTTCGATCAAATGAAAAGCAAGCAAAGATTAATCTTAGCGGGACGCTCTGGCTGGATTCGACCCAGGCTTCCCTGCTGAGCCTGTCCGGCGTCTCAGCCCGCTCGGCCGCCGAATGGGCAGCCCAGCGAGCACAGGCCCGTCTAGCGGCCCGCCGCGCTCGCCCGCGGGGTCCGCTCGGCGGCCGACGGGGGCCCGGACGCCGACGGAACGCAGAAGGCAGCACAGGCCCGTCCAGCGCCCGGCCGCGCTCGCCCGCGGGCCCGCTCGGCGGCCGAACGGGGGCCCAGACGCCGACGGCACCCCGGGGGCTCACCCGCCGGCCCCGACCCCTGGGGACGCCAGGGCCTCCCACCGCCTGCTCGCGCCCCGCCGACGACCACCGACGGCCGCCGCCGACCGCCGACCCTCCCTCCGCTGCCGCCCCCGCCTCCGCCGTGTCCCGCTCAACTCGCTGCGCTCTCCAGTGCTCCTCCAGCTCAGGCGGGGGGCCCGACAGCAGTGGGTCCGCCAGGTTGCAGGGGGGAATGTCGGGTGGGCCGAGCTGATGCTGTGTCTCAGACGCAGTTCGCGAGGACCCCTGGCACAAATACGCCGCAACAGGTCGGCAGAATAGGGTAGATGGTAGAGCAGAGCCGGCTAGAATAGGAATAGGCTATAATCGAGTAGAGGTCCTCAGACGGGAGAAGCGGAGACGAAAATAATACATTGAAGTATGTTAGTAAGAAAATAGAGTAGAGTGGATTTATCGTGGCAGAAAAGAGTCGAGTACGTTAGGGTGGGGTCGAGTAGAACAGGTAGAGCAGAGGCGGGAAGATTGTAGAGAAAGGTTCGGCATAATAGGGTAGAACAATGCAGAGAGAATAGAGTAAGGTAGAGTTGAGTCGAGCATAGTAGAGTCCATGCGAGCAGATGAGAAGGGCAAAGCAACATGATGTAGAGTAGAATAGAATGAAGCCGAGGACCCCCAAGGGCACCCCAGGACTCCACAGCGTCTCCCCAGAGCCCAGCTGAGCCCCCCTCAGGGCCCACCAGGGCCGCTCTCAGGGCTCACCGAAGGCCCTCCAACCCCCAAGCCCCCCCTCCCCCGGGCCCCCCCCAGGCCACCCTCAGGTTCCCCAGTGGCCATCCCAGGGCCCTCTCAGGGACTCCTCCTCGTCCTTCCTCCTCGTGGTCGTCTTCCTCCTCCTCCCCCTCCTCGTCCTCCTCATCCTCCTCCTGCTCCTCCTCCTCCTCCTCCTCCTCCTCCTCCTCCTCCTCCTCCTCCTCCTCCCCCCCCCTTCCTCCCCCAAATCGTCCTCGTCCTCGTCCTCGTCCTCGTCCTCCTCCTCCTCCTCCTCCTTCCCCTCCTCCTCCTCCTCCTCCTCCTCCTGTTCCTCCTCCTCCTCCCCCTCCATTCTGCCTCCACTCCCCTTCGTCCTTCCAAATCCTGTACAAGTACTAGCTGTGGCCCTGGTACCGTGCCATTACCGCGCGGCCCCCATTCCGAAGTGGCACTGGTATCGCGGGGTTTCAATTCCGTACGGGCAATAACACCGCCGGCGACAATAATTGGGCACAGCTAGCCGTATGGGTACTGCATCGTCCTGATGCCGTAACTTGCCGCTCCGTGGCCATGATGAACAAGTCAGATTCGGGAAGATGGTGTCATGTAACATGAACGGAGTAGAGCAAGATTAAATAGCAAACAAGCAAGTCGAGTACGGACAATGCGTGTCGCGCACTGCCACGTGCCCCCAAACAGGGTTCGACTGTTGGCAGCCGTGGATGCCATTCTTACCGCCAACAGAACTCAGTGGAATCCTCCTCCACGTGTTTCCAAGGGTCCCGGTTTTGCGCGGCTGCGATCCAAGAGAAAGCGCCGACCAGCCTCCCTGCTTAGCCTGTGAAAAAGCTGCCCCAACTATCGCACCAGCGTGTACAGCCCTCACCTGCGCTCTGCAAGCTGTCAATGACCAATCCAGCAGAGCCTTCGACCAGCAACCGTCGTTCCCTCTAGCAACATGTCCTGCCCACTGAAGCCTTCTTCTTAAAATCTTCTCAATCCAATTACGAACGTCGTGCCCCGTGCTAACCTTGACGGCTGTGCGTGTCGAGCGCATAATCCAGCTGACCCAATTTCCCAAAGTCTCCTCACCATCCATGCGATTGCCGCTGCACCATGTGACCCAACTGGTATCAGCATTTGCCGCTGCAGCCTGTTGATCACGGGCTCGCGTTTCGAAGTCCATGTCCAGGACGAGCAACCATATTAAAAAGGTAGGCTGGACGACAAAAACACCTATAGTCGCAGACGCGGCGAAAAAAGGGTAGCACGGATCAGTCGACTCATCTCTGTAAGTCGCAAGCTTCGCCAAAATTTTCGCCACTCTGATCTTCAGCTCAATATCCTGAGTCTCGGTGAGATTGACAAACGTGCCCACATACATTGTGGCCACGCTGTTTGGTAACACTTCGAAGCTGCAGGATTATGAATTTGCAATGGTTGCCGAAGTGCCCTTGTGGAAACCGTTCCATCGATTTTTAATGTTCGCTTCGCGCCGCCCAACCCAAAATCCTTCGCTTTACACGTCAAGTCGTCCAACTGGTGCCTTGCCTGGTAAAGCGAGCCAGCCACCAGCATCAGGTCATCCCCAAAACGTAAGTTTGCAAATCTTCAGGATTTGTACGCCTGACCCCCCCCCCCCCGTTGCTGCTACTTGTCTTGCAACCCACGCATGAGCTTTTCAAGTTCTCCAGTAAACAAACCTGTTGGATATGACCCATCTGCCTTACACCAGGCCGTCTGTCTAAATCATTGCTGATCCTGTCGCTCGGCTCTGCGCAAGACTGCTCTCGGTAGGTACGTTGCAAAACCTTGACGTCGGTACAAGGTACCCTCTGCTCACGCAGCGCCGCCCACAAACAAATATGACTGAAATAATCGAAAGCCTTCCTGAAACCAACCACTACGAACAATAACGGTGTCTGGTACTCGCGGAACATCTCCGACAATAGAATGGCAACCGTCAAAAATCTCGTCCCAAGAAAAGCCGACTCTACAACCCGCCCGGTCAACTGGCCGCTCTGTAAGCAAGGTATCCTTGATCCTTCCACGCGCCACGTGGCTAAAGAGTTTGTGGAGCATCGGCGATATCGCTGTCGAGCGGCAATTGTCGACCGACTTGGGATTCCGTTTCTTGAACCAGACTTTGGGGCGGGCGTGTTTCAACGTTCGTCTGCTAATTACTCTTTGAGAAAACGACAATTGCCAATAATAGTTTGTCGCTGCCTTTCTTCACTAGTTCTGCTACCACACCACATGTGTCAGCGCTCTTGCCGTTGGTAGCCAATGTCAGTTGGCCACGAACCTCGTCAGCATCCACAAGGGCAATGCAACCACCATCAGCAACAATATCTATCCCTCAAAGTTGGTCGTGTTCTCCCGACTGATGTACAAGTCTGTGTTGAAAGATGCAGCACTGTCAACAATATCTTGTCTATCTGTCTTCCCGTTACCCTCCTCATCCCGAATGCTTTCAATCATATAGCGTTTCCCATTCTTGTTGATACCAACGATGTCCTTGAGATCCCGAAGCTGACCTGAAATGTGTCCTATGTTTGCTGCCTGCCTCGCCTTCAATACTGCATGCATGTCTGTTTGGATCAACTTGGCGACGTTCCTCTCGGAAGGCCTGTCCCTCCGAGCACGGGCCTCCTTCCTCTCTGCGATCAGGTCGTTCAGGTTCTGCTGGTAACGCTCCTTTGTGTTGGCAATCGCCTGTTCGCATTGCTTCAGCTCCAGGCCAAGACACACAATCAAATCCTCTACGTGTTTGCGCTGATCATCCAACGATCCGTGCACCGAATATTCTGCATCAAGATGATAGTCCAAAACCGTGTGATAGCTATCTCGATACTGTGCTTTCCACCCGTGCATTGAAATATGTTTGGCGGCATGTATCGTCTTCTTCTTTCCCCTGGCGTGGGCAACCACGCGAAACACAGACCTCACCGAACGATGATCTGCACCTAAATTGATGTCGCATCCTGCTTCGCAATCTTTCCGGATGAAGCGCCTCATCTTTTCAAACAAAATGTAGTCGATCTGCCGGTCCACGTTGTCCTGCACATGAGTCCACTGCTTCTCGAAAGGCGTTTTGAAGATTGTGTTTTCAACCCGCAGGGTGGAGTAGGGTCCACCCAAGTCCAGCCCAGTCTACTCCAGCAGATCCGATCTACTGCAGTCCACTCCAGCCCACAGCATACAACTCTTCTCATCTAGATGGAGTCTGCGCTGGACGAGATTGTGGTTCTTCTCACTCTCTCTCTCCCTCTCTCTGTCTCTCGCGCACTCTCGCCTTCTCTCTCGCTCTCTCGCCCTCTCTCTCTCCGAGGCCAAGCGGCACTGCCCCCCTCCTGACTCCTGTCGTCCACCCCCAGCACTCCGGCTCCACATTATATATATATATATCATGGAACTCCGCATTGAGCCATCGATTGTGCAATCCATTGCTCCCCTCTGAACCCAACGCTTCCATCCACCATCGTGAAGCAATAGCGTCCTCATCTTCTCGCTGTACTCGCTGTACTTAGCAGCGGCAACCGTGCTGAGCTTGTGGAACAAGGCCGCGCCCAATTCCTGGCATGGGCTGCACCACCTCCGTGCCCAAAACAGAAACATCAACATGTGCGGAAGAGACACTTGCTTGATTCGACCGCGTGACGTGCGCCTGCGGGGCACCACCTTCGGGGCTCTAGGGCAACACCTTCGGGGCTTGCTTCGGGGCTTGCCAGATGAAGCCCCCCACTTCGACAAAACCACCGCACTTCTGATAGGGATACGGCACTTGAAGGCAGAAGAATGAAGCCATGGCACGGGTTGATGGTTGGTACAGGCTCCCATGTATCTGCGACTCGGAAGCTGCGGACGCAGCTTCCTGTCAGCATGCAGCCACGGCTCGGGGAAGACCCGGAAACGTCCGTAGCGCGACGGCCCTACAAGCCAAACCGTCTGCGTTGGAGGGGGTGAGAAGGGGGGAACTGCGAAATTATGTATTTGCCTGACATATACACTGGCCAGCTCCTCCACCTATACACTGGCCAACGACGAGGCGTAAGAGGCACAGCCCCAAGAGGTGTTCACTCTTCAACAGAAAGTCAAAGCACTTGCGAGCAATGCCAAACATGAATTGGCATAGGTTGGCATAGCTTTGTGTTCCTTGGCGATGCTTCCTGTTGCTTGGGGCAGTCGCGTGGGATTGCATTGGCAGTGCTTGGCATTACTTTGCATTGTGGTTTCGCTTTGAACTGTACGGCGTTGCGTGGTAAAGCTTGACATCATGGCGTTGCTTTGCATTGCTTGATACTCCGGAGCGGGGCAACCCAGGGCAAGCCTGGGGAAAGTCAGGCATCTGTGCAACGGGGAAAAAGAACTGCTTGGCATTGCTCGGCGTCGGTTGGCATTGATAGGCGTTGCTTGGCCTTGCTCGGCATTGTGTTGCATCGCTTGGCATGGCATGGCCTTCCCTGGCATCCGGAATCAGGCGGCCCTGGTCAACTCAGCGCACCGCCTTTCATCTGTGCCCTGGGGCAGAAACCCTGGGGGTCACCTCTGACGTTGCACCCGCTGGCTTCTTCCACAATCAATCAAAAAACCCTCGCGCAAAGCCTCATTGGGGAAAACAGGCTTAAACGCGCACTTGTGAACACTACAATCGCAAAAACGTCGTGTGCATATAATCCTCGTTGCATGTTGCGCCTTGGCCCAGAATTGATGCTATACAGAACCTGCTGCACCTTCTCCTCCACAGCGTGATGCCAAACGACAGGCGGCAATGCAATCCATACTGATCGACAGAGACTGTGCCACCATGACCAGCTAGCAAAGCACAATCAAGAAAATTACATTAGACAAGGTCCTGGCGTAGATTGGTGCGGTATATTGTGGTGGGGAACACAAGTTGCTTGCCCTCGCCTGCAATCATTTGGCACTCAAGAGGCATAATGCTTATCCGTGCAACTTCTTCTGCTACTCATCCTCCGTCGACCTCCATCCTGCCCAACATCGGCCACCCCTGCCTTGTACCCCAGGCTGCGAGTCGATGGAACCCTTGCTCGGCGCAGATCGTGTCGGCATGCTCTTGCAGGGTTGGAAGCTTCCTGCTGATGCCACTGGTGTTGTCCCTCCCTCCTCGATCATTTCGTCCCGTTTCAGCCCACTCCTCCGTCAATTCCCGGCCGTCCCCTCAACATCGTCTTCCACACCATTTTCTTCTTCCGCCTCTCCGCCTTCTGCCTTCTCCGTAACCTTTCCCCCGCGCTGGATCCTTTACCTCCGCCGCCTCCTCCTTCCCATCCTTCCCGCCCGATGTCACGCTCCCGCCTGATGTCGCGCCTCCTCCTAGTCTTCCCTCGTCCTCCGTCCTCCGACTCCTCCTCATTCTCCCAGCCTTGACTTCTCCTGCTCGCGTCTCGCTCTCCTTCTCGCCCTTGTTTGCCACCCCCATCCTCCTCATCTCCATCATTCGTGAGTTTGTGATTGGTATGCTACCATGTCTCCTTACCTTATCTTCCTCATCATCCTCTGCTCCGCCTATATCCAGTGTCAGGTGTGTCAACAAGGCCATGGTTCCACCAACAAAGACTGCACGAATGCCACGTTTGACAGCGCAAATGACCACGAGTCGGCTCCGAATACTGGACTGTCGAACCGTTAGTGCTCCGTTCACGCATCGTGACTGCCTCTTTGCCGCCCCACTGCTACCCCTTGAACAACCAATTGTCGCCATGTTGCTGGCTCGCGTTGCGCTGATTTGGATTGCTGTGCGCTGCGTTGTATTGCGTTGCGCTGCGTTGCATGACCTTGCGTCGCTCTGCGTAGCGCTGATATTCGTGATGCACCTCGCGACCCCACTACGTGTCCTCCTCTCCTCCCTGCCATCTTCTCCTCCACCCCATCCTCGTCATCCTCGTCGTCTTCCTCCCATCCGAGACGATGCGTGGACAAGCCTCAGCCGACGAGAGCAGGAAGCTGGGAGAGGAGGGAGGCTACGACTTGCCAACGACCCTTGTCGTTGACGGGATGTCCGTCTTCACGGCAATGGCCATGAATCCTGTTCGGCCACCGACCGAGAATAGCCGGCCATCTGTAGTGGTTAACAGATGAACTCCGCACAAAGCAGATTGAGGGCATGTTCTGGAGCGATGCTCGCGAAATGCGGGCCGACCCCATGCCCTGCGGGAGCATTGACCGAGAATTGACCTCGGACATCGCGAATGGCCAGCTCAGCTACGACCACAACACCGTCAAGCTGAGCGGGGAGCGGCACACGAAGTTCGTGCCCAGCTCGCAACAGAGCATGCTCACCACCAAAGAGAAGTGCGAATCGAATGACTGACGCATCCGACGCTCGCATCTCACGCACTACGCTTGCGAATGCGCACGTCCGCACGGCAGCTCACCAGCGAGAGCTCTAGACAACACGGCGCGCATGCGAGTGGGCTGCTTCCGCGGACGATTTTCGTGGACCAGCAGGCGAAAGGAAGCCTTGCCTGCTGCCTGCAACGTTGTAGGAGGCTCCGTTGATCGGCACGCGGTTTGCGTGCGCTGGCCGACGAGGCACAGGCAGTCCCGCTTGAGCACCAGACTCGAACGGTACTCCAGATTTCGTAATAATCTGGGGAGGGGGTCTGGACCCTCCAAGACAAGCCATTTCAGACCTCCCCCGTGGGAGAACCCTCCAAAACATCGTCCCCAGACCCCCCAGGCCCTCCAAGATAGCCTGGAAGAGACCCCCCCCGAAATGAGACCCCCCTCCCTTTATTACGAAATCTGGAGTACCCACCGCATGCTTCCCCTCTTACCTGTCTCCCCTTTTCCGACGCCGTTCTGGTTCCGGGGCACGGCAGGTGGCCACCCTCCGTGCCCGTCCGACTCCGCTGTGACACGCGCTGCCGCCTGACACCGAAAGAGCACTTCATCCTTTCACACCTACCTCTCGCAGTCTGCATTCTTCACAGGAAGAGAAAAAGGAAGAGGAGGAGGAGGAGGAGGAGGAGGAAGGGGGGAAAGAGGAGGAGGAGTCGGCTCCTTCCGACGACCCCGACGCTTTCGACCCCCTGTTGTCGCAGGGCAAGGAGGATGGAGGAGGGGGAGGGGAGGAGAAACGAGAGGGGACAGCGAATGCCTGAGCCTCTAGCTCTGCTAGGGACGCGACCTGGGCTCTCTCCTTCTCTGTCTCTGTCTCTCTTATTTTTTCTCCCTCGTTCTCTCTCCCTTTCTCTCTCTCTCTCTCTGTCTCTGTCCTTACCCCCTCAGAGAGCAGAGTTCAGCTGTCGCCCTTGCTACTGTGACAAGTCCTAAGCACCATCTGTTTCTACATGCTGCTCTCTGTCTGGCGTGGACCTCGCTTTGGCTGTCCACTGTTACCTCTGTCTCCTCCTGCCGGCGCAGCCACCCCCGTGTTACGCCCGCGGCATTTCACCCCTCGGGCGGTGGCGCGACACTGCGTAACAGCTCACGAATGCTACACGCGACCTCTTGGCACTTCTGCCCCTTGGCCCACCCCCCTCCGCCACCTCCTCGCCCGCCCCGACGTCGTCCTCCTCTCCCTCCCCTCCCACTCCTCCTGCGCCTCCTGCTTCGCCATCGTCGCCGTCGCCGTCGCCGCCGCCGCCACCGCCGCCATCGGTCGCCGCAGCAGCCGCCGCCGCCGTCGGCCCACGCCGTCGTCGCCGCCGCCGCCGTCACCGTGACCGTCGCGCTCGGCGCCGCCGCCGTTGGCCACCGTTGCCGCCGCCCCTGCTGGCCATCGCTCGGACGTCCATTTCCTGTGTTTTTTTCGGTTTCGTGCGTGGTTTTCTCGCCAACTGATCAAGGATGCTCCTCGATGGTCCTCGCCGAAGGAAAAAAGCACACGTCCGAGCGATGCCAAGCCTGTCGGCCACCGCAGCCGCCGCCACCGCCGCCACCACCGCCGCCACCGCCGCCGCCGCCGCCACCGCCACCGCCCGGCGCCGCCGCCGCCGCCCGCTGCCGCCGCCTGCTCCCCAGGAAGGGGGGCCCGGGTCGCCCAGCTTCGCGCCGAGCCAGTCGCCCCCCTGGCGGGGGCGCGGGGCTGCGCCGGGGCCGCGGGCGTCGCACCTGGCGCGGGGCGTGCGGGGGGGGGGAGGAGGCCTCGCTCGCGGGCGCCGTTCGGGGGGGGGCCCTCCTCCGCCCCAGCTCCGCAGGGAGAGGAACACGAATCCAGGGCAGGGGCAACATCGGACCAAGACAAATCGGGGGCCTTTGAAATCTGGTGGTTCTGGAGAACGTGTCGGGCACTGCAGCCTTCCCAAAATCCGGAAACGCTCTGGAAGCATTCCGGGACGCTCTGGAACGAGTTCTCCCTGTCCCAGCCCTCAAGCTTGCCATCGCTCGGACGTCCATTTCATGTGCATGTTTCGGTTGCGTGTTTTTTTTGCTCGATGGTCCAGGATGGACCTCGATGGTTCTCGCCGAGGAAAAATGCACACGTCCGAGCGATGCCAGGGCCCTCGCAGGGCACCACAGCTCGAAGGAGCTCGCATGTTGTAGTCATCGCGATGGCGCGCGTCACCGAGGCCGCTCCCCCGCCACCATAGCTCCCCCGCCTCGCGGGAGGAAGGGCACCATAGCTTGCATGAGCTCGTTTTGCTGAGTTGTTGGCGATAACACGCGTGACTGGGAACGCTCCACCCGTGGCAATGCAACGATACTCGACGGAGCCGTGCGAGAATGGCTACAGCTATCGTGCTGCCTCAAGGAACGCTGAATTCGGAACGAAGGGGCTCTCGGGCTACTGCGAATCATAGCGAGCCTCAGCTACGAATAGGTTCCCTGGCCCAGATCTAAGGAAAAGGCATTAGAACCAGAGCCCCTCCCGATCCCCAAGTGGTCCTCATCCCGGCATCTTGACTGCAGGGGCACCTGGTTGCAGGGAGACGCAAGGCGCAGATCCTGATGTGCCCAGGCCCCTGATGATGAGGATGATGATGCTGGTGGTGCTGCAGATGATGGTGATGGATGGTGATGACGATGATTACGATGATGATGCTGATGATGCTGATGATGATGGTGGTCGACATTATCATTATCATCACCATCATCACCATCAGCATCATCATGATTACCACCATCATCATCACCATCATCATCATCGTCATCATCATCATCATCAGCCTCAGCATCAGCATCAACATCATCATGAGCATCATCATAATCATCATCATCAACCATCATCCATAACCCACCATCCATCATCATAACCATAATCAGCATCAGCATCAGCATCAGCATCAGCATCAGCATCAGCATCACCACCATCATCATCATCATCATCATCATCATCATCATCATCATCATCAACATCATCATCATCAACCCCCCTCCCCCCTGCACCCAGTAACGCCCGTCACCGCCGGAGGGTTGGAGCACAGGCTCTCAGCTGAAGGCACGAGTGCCGAAGCTCGAGGCCCTTCCGCCCTTCTTGGGCCTCCGGGGAAGACGGGCCTCCGCGGCCTTGCGGGCGCCGCCGAGAAGGACACGACCTGACCCTGTGCCCAATGTCGGACCCCCGAGCCCAAAGGATCTATCCACGCCGCAGAGAGGTGGTGCCGATGACTTCGAGGTCGTGATCTGGCGAGACGATGTGTCTCTTCACGGCGCTGTTCCTGAGGATCCTTATCCTCCGCATGCACGCCACCGCCACCAGCCGGTGGTGCCAGGATTCTGATCCGTCGGACGCAGCTGTCCAGGATTCCCCGCGGAAGCGCCAGGAGAGATGTACAACACCACAGCCCTTGAACCCTTGGTCTCTGAAGATGGTGGGGATTGGGGAGGCATGTAGTTGCTTGAGGACACACCCGGTAAGCAGCCCTGGCTGCTTCTATAAACTCCAAGTCCTGCGAACGAGAAAAGGAAGCGATTCAGTTGCATGCAGCTGATGTTCCTGGCGCGTCGAGGAGTCCGAAGCGAGCATGTATCGAGAAGTGTGCCCATCGGCGGGGAAGAACATCCGAAAGGACGGAACATAATTCGCAATACCCCGTACTGTTCCATGCTGTTGGCTTCTGTTGCCTTTCCCTCCACACCCCATTTCCCATTTCCTGTTCCACCTCACCGCGTGTCCAATTTCGTCCTCCCGGAAGTAGACCACCCCTCGGTACCTTGGGGGCTCGCTCTACTGCGGGTATCCGGACCTACCTCTGGGATCCTCTTGGTCAGCTCGCGCAGCGCCAGTAGCAACCCTCCATCTGACACGTGGGTTTCTTGTCGTCGCTCGGACGTCCATTTCCCGTGCATTTGTCGGCGTCGTGCGTGCATTGTTTGCTCGATGGTCCAGGATGGTCCTCGATGGTTCTCGCCGAGAAGATATGCACACGTCCGAGCGATGCCAGGGTTTCCGAGCGATGCCAGGGTTTGGGGCTCCGGAGCTTTCGACCCTGGTGTTCGCACGCATGGGTCCCGACGGGGCGCGCCCCTTATGGGCCCCAGGGCCCCGAAGGGGGCCTCCACACAGAGAGAGTTGCGGGGCGACTGCAGACTCAGAGCAACCAGCCGTCGACCTGATGTCTCCTGGGTGGCGGATATCTTCGGCGGTGGACAAACCTCCCTTTGGTGGACCTCCCCTTTGTGAAAACGGCCTGGGACCGAAACCGACGGACCTGGACCCTAAAAAATGACGGCCGCGACGTCCTCTCGCGAAACGAAAACGGCCAATTCCTTAATCGACGTGTCAGGGTAGGAGGTCTGCCCACCCCCGAGATCTGAGTTCTTGAGCGTTCCGTGGCGTTCCGGGGATCTCTGGAGCGATGAACTCGCATCCTGGGTGAGGCGCGCCTGTCGCCAACGACGGCGGCGGTTGTGACGACGGCGGCGCCTGTGGCGGCGGCTTTGGAGACGACGGCGGCGACGACGACGACGACGACGACGGCGATGGCACCGGCAGGCCACGACGACGACAGCGGCGGCGGCGGTGTGGGAGGGCATCAGCAATAAAACGACACCGATCTTGAGGGAACCAAAGGCACCGATACCGCTACCGCCCGGAATTCTCCGGGAGTGCGTCCCGACCCCGGAACTCTCCCGGGGTGCGTCCTGACCAGGATTTCAAGGCGAATCCAGGGGTGGCAACGAGGGCCTCCCAGGAGGCCCCAAAAAGGGAAAACGGGCGAGGGGGTAGAGGTATGGGCACCTTTTCTTTGGACGGCCGACATGGGCATGGAAAAACGGGGACGATGCCAAACGACAAATGTTGCCCAAAACTGTCAACAATGGACAGCGTCAGTGGTGCGGCGGACAGCGAGCCTTGTTCAAAATGACCAGGAACTGTTAATGGGCATTGACAGAGTGAGGGGGCGAACGGCCATTCGCTACACGTCGTTCACTCCTAATCGTGCTCATTTCTGATTGCGATCGTTTCTGATTGTTCCTGGCCCCCCAGTGACCAGGAAGAGGCCCAGGATAGAACAAGCAGGAATATAATGACCTTGGCCCACCAGACAATCAGAGCACTCCCGAAGAATGAGAAATGCGCAGTGTGTATCCACGGGTGCGTGGCCGAAGTGGCATTCCGCGGTGCGGATTATCGCTGTTGCCCCCGACGGCGGTGGCAGCGGTGGCGGCGCCGCGCGCCCTCCGACATTCGACGATTCCTCGTCCTACTCATGCTCACTTTCATCTCACTCTCATCCTGCTCACTCTCCTCCTCCCCCTTCTCCCCCCCTCCTCCTCCTCCTCCTCCTCCTCCTCCTCCTCCTCCTCCTCCTCCTCCTCTTCCTCCTCCCCCCCCTCCTCCTCCTCCTCTCATCCTTCTCCTCCTCATCCTCCTCCTCTTTCGCATCCCCCTCCTCCTCCCTCCTCCTCCTCCTCCTCCTCCTCCTCCCCTCCTCTTTCAAGATTCCGAAAGCCTCCAGAAGCCTCTGGGGTCCTCTAGAGGTGAAGAGCCAGGGCGCAGCAAAACTTACCATAGGAGCAGGGGGTCTCCTCCTCCTCCTCCTCCTCCTCCTCCTCCTCCTCCTATTCCTATTCCTCCTCCTCCTCCTCCTCCTCGAGGCGGGGAACGCGGTACGGTGCATAGTTTTTGTCTCCACTGAACGATGAACTATGCACCGCACCATTCCTGGGCCGAATATCGACATCGCTTCAGGGATCGCCAACGCGGTTCGGTGCATACATGTTGTCCGCGGACCAGGGCCACCTTCTTGCCCCGGAGACCTTTTTGCTGGCCCAGGGGCCCGATAGCGGGAGGCCCACATCGAGGAAGAGCGTCCAGACGGAGCAACTGCTATCGTCGGAGATATGCGCCAACGATGCCACCGCTACTCCCAGGGCCTGGGCCCAGGGACTCCGAGGCGAATCCAGCCGTGGCAACGAGGGAAAGGTAACAGAAGCGGTATCGCTCCCTCCTTTGAGCTGGAACGCGTCCAGAGGCCAGAACATCGCCCAGCCTGAACGAACGTACCCCAGCAAGGCACAAAGGTAAAGAGGCGGATCGAGGAGTAGAAGGTCAAGACAAGGTCAAGTGCACCTCAACGCATTTGTTTTACCAAGGATGGTGGCCGTCCGGACAAACATTTGCCATGCATTGCGGCGAGAGTGCATTAGGAGAAAGTCTCAGGCGAAACGACCACTGGACTGGGCGGTCTAAGTCTTCAACTTGGGTTGTTGTTGGGGCCTGTGGGAAAACATGCATCACCTACATGTTGACTGCAGTATCCAGACCGTCGTTTCCGGGCCCTACAGGGACAATCGGGCATCGCATAGCATTGGTATTGTATAGATGTGCATCTCATGCTTACAGTATTGACACAATCGGAATGTCATTGCCATGGTGCGTGCACTCAAACACTGCCATTTACAAAGACACCAGCATCGGCCGACATGTAAAATATCAGCGACACCCTGATTGGCATCATGGTTCCTCCGACTGTGGGGCGGCATGCCTCAGTTCGAAGGGCCCCAGGGCAGGGGCAACAATGAGGGATGATGGCGGAAGAAGGGAAAGAGGACGTCTGACAAACAGACCAGGCCGTCCCGAAGTCCTCTTGGGCTGTTTTGGACCATTTTGGCGCGACGAGGAGGACAGACACGAGGAGGGAAGCAGAGGTGAGAATGAGGAGGCTGACGGCTATGCCAAACATGTGGACGCCAGGGCCCCGCAGACCCGGACACGCTAAACCCGGACACCCAACATCCCTCGAAGCCAATTTATCCCGACGGCGGCACGAACAAAAACAAGGCACTGCAGAGCTGCCAACACAAACCTGGACACAGGCCCTTCAACCCTGTAGAAACCCCGCTAAACCCGGACACGAACCCGAGTCCTGCAAGGGAGCGAACAAAACATGCACGGGTGCTGAAACATGTGAATTTGCAGAAGAAGGAGTCCTTTCCTTGGCTTCCCGTGTCCTGGTTTATCTGTGTCCTGGTCTCTGGGGGCCTGAGGACGCCCGTCCGACGTCGCGCCGGCTCCAGCATGCACGACACGCTGCTCACCCGCGCCCTCGTGCTCGCTGGCCGTCGGCTGGGATCCAGGAAGGGCACCAGGAGGAACCCAAGAGGTCCCCGATAGGGTCCCAGGAGGGCCCAGATGAGGTGGGGAGAGGCGGCTGCGTTTCCCCAGATCGATTCGAGGTTCCCGGAGAGTTCTTGGAGCCCTCTTGGAGCCCTTTTGGGGCCCTCTGAAATCCCTTCCTTCTCGTCCTTTCGCGCTCCCTCCTCATGTTCCGATCGTGTTCCCAGGGCCGCGCGGTGCTGTGTTTGCGTTGTGCCCGAGGCAGTCCACAAATTGTACTTTCATGTGCGGGCGCAGGGTCCCCACCCGGGCCCCACCCCCCGGACTAGGCACCGAGGTCGGGGCACCAGGCGGTTGTCGAGCAGCGGTCTTGTGCAGTGACCGAATCACAAATTGTACTGGCAAGCACGGACAATATCATTTTGGAGGCTGTCCGCAGATTGCACTGGCAAGTGAAGGACAGGCGTCCCTGGTCCACAGATTGTACTGTCAAATGCGGACAGATTGCCTGGGCTTGGGGTGCGCCCAAAGGACAATCTGCGGACGGCGGTCCCAGTGGCGCAGTTCGCATGGCGCCGCCGGCCAATTTTGGATCCATTGGCGCAGTCAGCATGGCGCCGCCGCCCAATTTTGGCACACCCTCACGCGCTTCGTGGCCCCATAGGGAGCTTTACCTAAGGTCCCACTGGCGCAGTCCGCATGTTGGCGCCGCCCTATTTTGGACAACTTTTCAGACGGTTCGTGGCCCCATCAAGGGGGGTTCAGGCCCCAGTACCAGCGCCCGCATGGCGGCCCCGCCCCATTTCGGCACACTCTTCACGCGCTTCGTGGCCCCATAAGGAGATACACCGAATGCGATACTAACAACGATGGCTGTCACAACTGCATATGGTTGGGTCCTTCGCCTGGCAAGTTCCCCGCCCTTCCCCATGGGTGACGTATCGTTTGCGCATACGCGTGGCGTTGTTGATGATCATGCTGATGTGATCGTGGTACTTCTGGATGGCGTCGTGCCGTTCCTTTTTCCCTCGCCAATGTTCGCCAATTGTCACTACTCCTGGTAAGCCTGTTGCTTGCCATTGCCGTTCGTTTGTTTATGTTTGCCTGCGGCGCCCGGCACAGCGCGGCTCAGGCCTGGTGCTGGCACTGCACCTTGCCGCCTCGGCGGCCCCACTCACCTTGGGCAGCGCGGCTCTGGCCCTGCCCGCGGCAGGCGGACACAGACGGCCCTGCTTCTGGCCGCACCTCTTGGCTGCTACCTGGACGCGGATTGGACTACCACATCAGGCCGCTACCAACCACCCAGTGGCACAGAGTTGCGCATCGTCTTCGTGGTCATCCTTATCGCCTGGGCCTTTCCTTACCAGTTGGTGGCACCTGTCGCACTTCGCCCACCTGGTGTACCTCTAACCCCCGGACGTCGACCTGGTCACGTCCTTCCGCACGCAGCACTCGAGGATGGTGATTTTGACGCGCCGTCGACGGCAACACCACCTCGCTCTCCCTCCGGGACTTCGCCTCCGGCTCATGTCCAAGGCTTACCTTTTCCTGTGCAAGCTCTTCGGCACCGCCTGCACCCCGCGCCCTCCGGCCGCCTGAGGCCCCGCCCGCCCGCGGTGTGTCTCCCGAATTAGTGCTTTGCGCGCCCCGCCTAGCTCTTAACCGGAAGAGGCCCGCTCTCGACCCGCAGACCAGAAAGTTTATGTCTGCCTTTTTGTTCTGCGGTTGGCTGTCGTCGTCGGCGTGCCCACCGTAGGGCTTGGGGAAGCTGCCCCTGCCTTTGCCGTTGGACCCCTTGTTGTTCTTTCCTGCACCCTTGCTCCAATAGGTGTCCAGGCGTTGGGCTGCCCATTGTGCCGCCCGCTGGTCTTTCTTCAACCTGTCCAATCCATCCCCAACGTCCGTCGTAGTAGGCCTGGTAAGCGGGCTCCTGCTTACTGGTCGGCTCGTGGTAAAGCGCCACGTTGTTCGTTGTGGATGTCGTGGTGGTCTCTGGGCACTATCACGCACGTCGAATAACTGTCGTTCTTCGCGCGTAGTCGTAGTTGGGTGTAAACGCGTTCGTGGCGGAAGCACGTATGCCAGGCATGTGACTTCAACCTTGCCGTGGATGCTGGCGTGGCCCCACGCAAGGGGACGATACTAAAAAAACATCGCGCTTGGAAAAACCGCACTGGCAACCGGCAACCGCCTCGGCCCCCCTTGTGAGCCAAGTGGGGCGGGACAGGTGCCATCGCGGTTCCATCCTACTCCTCCTCGTCCTCCCTCCTCCCTCCTCCTCCGCCCTCGTCGCAAATCGCCCCCCCCTCCCCTGCGGGCGCGCCCGTCGTCAGTGGAGGCCTGCGTGCATGTGTCGTCCAGGCCTCTGGCACCCGGGTGCCGCGGGCCGCGCGGGCCGGGCGGCGTAGGCGTCGGCCGGCGCCCCCCGCGAGGGGGGCGAGCGTTCGGAGGCGACGTGCCGGCAGCGCACTCTGCGCGCGCGGGGGGACATATGTGCAGCAAAGACATATTATCCTGGAATCCCCATCGGCCGACCACGGGATGTTCACGGAATCGGACAAAGCTCAAGAAACAACTGGTATGTTCTTAGAACGCAGAGCCGTTTGAACAATTATCCTGGCGAAGGACCCAACCCAATGAAGTTGTGGGTACCGCAATTATGAATATCTTCTTCGGCGAAGCTCCTTATATGGCCACGAAGCGCTGCGCTGGGCGGGGGGGGAACGCACCTTATGAGGCCACGAAGCGCTGCACTGGGTGGATGAAGATACCAAATTAGGCGTGTGGGACGCACGCGGGCGGTCCCATTGGGGGTTTCGGTGGAGTTCCCCATGGGGCCGCGAAGCGTTGTAAACGGTGGGTGGGGATGCCAAATTGGGTGTGGGGGGCGCATGCGGGCGGCCCCACTGGGGGCTTCGGTCGGGTTCCCTATGGGGCCACGAAGCGCTGTACTGGGTCGGCAAAAATGCCAAATTGGGTGTGGGGGACGCGTGCGGGCGGTCCCACTGGAGGCTTCGGTGGAGCTCCCTGTGGGGGACGCAAGCGGACGGTCCGACTGGGGGTTTCGGTGGTGCTCCCGATGGGGCCACGAACCGCCGTACTGGGCGGGTGAACAAAAAAACAGATTAGGCATGGTGGACGCATGGGGGCGGTCCCATTGGGGGGTTCGGTGGAGCTCCCCATGGGGCCACACAGCGCTGTACTGGGTAGGTGACAATGCCAAATCGGATGCGGGGGACGCACGCGGACAGTCCCACTGGGGGCTTCTGTGGGGCTCCCTATGGGGCCACGAAGCGCTGTACCGGGTGGGTGACAATGCCAAGTTGGGTGTGGGGGACGCACGCGGGCGGTCCGAGTGGGGACTTCGGTGGGGCTCCCCATGGGGCCACAAAGCGCTGTACTGGGTGGGTGAAAACGCCAAATTGGATGTGGGGGACGCATGTGGGAGGTACCACTCGGGGTTTCGGTGGAGCTCCCTATGGGGTCACGAAGTGCTGTACCGGTGTGTGAAAATGACGAATTAAGCGTGGGGGACGCATGCGGGCGGTCCCAGTGGTGGTTTCGGTGGGGCTCCCTATGGGGCCACGAAGCGCTGTACTGTGTCGGCGAAAATGCCAAATTATGCTTGGGGGGCGCATGCGGGTGGTCCCATTGGTGGCTTCGGTGGAGCTCCCTATGGGGCCACGAAGCGCTGTGCTGGGTGGTTGAAAATGCCAAATTGGGCGTGGGGGGCGCATGCGGGCGGTCCCACTGGGGGCTTCGGTGGGCCTCCTTACGAGGCCACGAAACCCTGTAGTCGGTGGGCGAACATGCCAAATTGGTGTGGGGGACGCATGCGGGCGGTCCCGCTGGGGTTTTTCGGTGGAGCTCCCTATGGGGCCACGAAGCGCTGTAATGGGTGGGTGAACATGCCAAATTGGGTGTGGGGGAAGCATGCGGGCGGTCCCACTGGGGGGCTTCGGTGGAGCTCCCTATGGGGCCGCCAAGCGCTGTAATGGGTGGGTGAAAATGCCAAATTGGGTGTGGGGGAAGCATGCGGGCGGTCCCACTGGGGGGCTTCGGTGGAGCTCCGTATGGGGCCACGAAACGTGTGAGGGATGTGCCAGAATGGGCGCGGGGGACGCATGTGGGCGGTGGAAAGGATGAGGGGGGAGAGGAGGAGATGAGGAAGGGAACGCGAGGACCGTCTCTTCAAAACGATGACACAACACCACAAGATGGTTGGGAACAATAGGGCACGTCCAGCCGGAACTGTTCAATGGCGTTTCGTGTAAGCCGCATAAGGTTAGGCGAGCATTCTTAGAACAGGTCAGGACGTTTCTCCATCGAAGGTGCGCTGAAAGGGAACGCTCGAAAATTTGTAAGGCTTTGGGCTGCGCGCAGACACCCCCACAAGGTATTCCCGGCTGGTTTCAACAGGACCTCAAAAGTAGTCCTGGCTGGCCTCAAGATGGCCCCCAAGTAGTCTCGGGGCAATATGGCGCTGCCTCTGGCGGCAACCTTGGGGCGCTCCTTGGGGTGTTGAGCCCGCCGCAGGCTACTCGGGGGGCCTGCTGAGGCCAGATGGGACTACCTTTGGGTCGGGCATGTCATCCTACAGGCGGACAGTGGAAGACAAATGACAACTAATCAAAACATATTCAAAACTAGTCTAAACAATCGTCCCCATACTATTTCCCGACCGTCTTGTGGTGTTGGGGTATTGGGCCCTCCTTTTGAAGAGACAGCGTCCCGCGTTCCTTCTTCCTTCCTTCCTTCCTTCCTCCTCCCCCTCCTGCCTCCTCCCATCATCATCGCCATCACCCGTTTCAGCACACCCCTCACACGCTTCGTGGCCCCATAGCGAGCTCCATCTAAGATCCCATTGGCGCAGTTCGCGGCGCCGCCCCAGTTCGGCACACTCCTCACACGTTCCGTGGCCCCATAGGGAGTTCCACCGAAGGTCCCAGTGCTACCGCTCGCATGCGTCCCCCCCATCCAGTACAGCGCTTCGTCGCCCCATACGGGGCTCCACCGAAGGTCCCAACGCTACCGCCCGCATGCATCCCCGCAATCTGGTCAAGCGCTGCCTGGCTCCGAAAAAAACTGCACCGAAGGTCCCAGTGCTACCGCCCCCATGCGCCCCTCCCACCCAGTACAGCGTGTCGTGGCCCCATACGGGACCCCACCGACGGCCACAGTGCTCCAGCCCGCATTCGCCCCCCTCACCCAGTACAGCGCTCCGTGGCCCAATAGGGAGCCCCACCGAAGTCCCCGCTGGGACCGCCCGCGTGCGTCCCCCACACCCATTACAGCGCTTCGCGGCCCCATGAGGAGCTCCAGCGACGGCCCCAGTGCTACCGCCCACATGCGTCCCCCCACCCAGTACAGCGCTTCGTGGCCCCATAGGGAGCTCCACCGAAGGTCTCAGCCCTACCGCCCGCATGCGTCCCCCCTGCTCAGTACAGCGCTTCGTGGCCCCGTAGGGAGCTCCACCGAAGGTCCCACCCTACCGCCCGCATGAGCCCCCCTCACCCAGTACAGCGCTTCGTGGCCCCGTAGGGAGCTCCACCGACGGCCCCAGTGCTACTGCCCGCATGCTCCCCCCCCCACCCAGTACAGCGTTTCGTGGTCTGATATGGAGCTCCACCGACGGCCCCAGTGCTACCGCCCGCAGGCGTCACCCCCACCCAGTATAGCATTTGGCGGCCCCGTAGGGAGCTCCGACGACGGTCCCAGCGCTACCGCCCGCATGCGCCCCCCCACCAAGTACAGCGCTCCGTGGCCCCATAGAGAGCTCCACCGAAGGTTCCATTTCTACCGCCCGCATGCGTCCGCTTCAGCGGGTACAGCGTCCCGTGGCCCCAAACGGGGCTCCACCGACGGCCCAAGTGCCACCGCCCGCAGGCGTCACCCCCACCCAGTGCAGCGTTTCGTGGCCTCATACGCAGCTCTACCGACGGCCCCAATGCGACTGCCCGCATGCGTCCCCCCCCCACCCAGCGTCCCCCCCCACCCAGTGCAGCGCGTCGTGGCCTCATAGGGGAGTTCACCGGATGTGGTATTCACAGTTGCTGTCATATGGTTGGGTCCCTCGCGAGGAAAGTGCTAACAAAATCGAAATCTTCCTCCCGTAGAGAGACATGCCCGACTTACGGCTGCCTGTAGGGGCGGTCTGTGCGCAGCCCGAAGCTTCCCCAGGGGAGGGCTCGAGAGAACGAGGGCTCTTCGCCCCCCCCCAGGGCCTCAGATCGTGGCCGACATCGGCGCGTCCCTCCCAGACGTCGCTCCACGCATCACGAAGGCACCAGGAAGCCGCTGGACGCTCAGCCTGCAGGGCCTCAGATCATGGCCGACATCGGCGCGTCCCTCCCAGACGTCGCTCCAAGCATCACGAAGGCACCAGCAAGCCGCTGGACGCTCAGCCTGCAGGGCCTCAGATCATGGCCGACATCGGCGCGTCCCTCCCAGACGTCGCTCCAAGCATCACGAAGGCATCAGGAAGCCGCTGGACGCTCAGCCTCCAGGGCCTCAGATCATGGCCGACATCGGCGCGTCCCTCCCAGACGTCGCTCCAAGCATCACGAAGGCACTACGAAACCGCTGGACGCTCAGCCTCCAGGGCCTCAGATCATGGCCGAGATAGGCGCGTCCCTTCTAGACGCGGATCCAGGCATCAGGGAGGCATGAGGAAGCCGCTGGACGCTCAGCCAGCGCCCATGTGCGCTCCACTCAAGGAAGGTACGGGCTCAAGGCATCTGCATGTGAGCGCGGATAAGAATGGGCGCGCAGGTTGCCCTCGTGTGAATAGCAGCTGGTCCCTACGAGGATCACGAACAGCGAACCAGTGCAGCTCACGCGGTGCACCCCCAATTCGACGCAGTGCAAAAAAAGAACTCAACTTGCAACGCAAAGCAACGCCAGGCACTGCAAAACAATGTAAACCAGCTGCTGCCGGACCACCTGCTTGAGCAGGGTCCGACCGTCCCGGCACTCTTATAGGCCTACCACGACATGTTCTTACAACCCAGATATGTTCTGAGAACCAACCAGGGTTCCTAGAACACAAGCCCGACGTGTTAAAACAGGACAGCCCCAGCCAGAACTGTTCGAATAACAATCCGTGCAGACCACAGACGGTTCTTAACACATTTTCTGTGCTGGGCCTTAGGGGAGGCAGGACGTCTGACACCGCTTGACCTACAGTGCGCTCTGAGCTCGGCGCCCGCCCACCCTCACACACTCTGCTCGCCTGCTGGGCCCGCGACTGCCCCTGGGATGGCCTCGAGATGCGCCAGGGCGGCGCCGGGAAGCCCCGACAGACCCCGCGAGGCCCCCATGACTTCCCGGAGTTGGGGCAAGGAAAGGCGACTACACATCAACA